CACCCTCAGTCCTCAGTCCCGCCGTCCCCTCCAGCACCCTCAGTCCTTGGTCCCACCACCACCTCCAGCACCCTCAGTGCAGCCCCATTTATCTCAGACATACCCACTAGTCCCTAAACCAAGTTACTTTGAAATAAATATCAGGTATCATACTATTTCATCCCAAATATTTCAGCATATATCTCTAAATGAGAAGAATCTTGTTTAATAATATTCAAATAAGTCATCAGTTTTATGTTTTGGAATTATTTTTAAATAAACAAGAAATCCCTCTTAAGTTGCATGGACAATCCGCACTCAGTGTATCAAGCCTAGAGGTCTCTTTTAAAAGGCTTTTTAAGACTCATCTGATGACTTAAAGTTAAATGAGTCCTATGCTTATCCGCAATTGCAAATCGCCTGTTGCTGTACGGCCAGAACGACTGTGTTAGGAAAATACATGTTAGAATGCATTAGTTTATTCACGTCCACGTAATGTACTGAGACCTCAGGTGGCGGCTGTTCCACAGAAGACTGGGGAGGTGCCAGGAGCTTTCTGGCCGTGCTAGACAAAGGGAATTTTTAAATGAAAGTTGGGCTTGGAAGCGTGAATCAGATTCACCCTAAAATATGCTTTCTTTTCTTAATGCCTGACTTGTAATAACAATGTCATAAATTAAACCCGAACTGTATAGGAGGCTCAAATAGCAAAACATTCAATGCCATCTCTTCCTGCTGTAAGTGAAAACACACCTGGTAGAAACTCTAAGACAAATGGGACCCTTCCAACTCGGAATCACTAGAATTGCCACCATAGTCCAAAGCACCCTGGAAGCTTTCGGGGTGCATGTGCGTGGGCTCAGGAGCCTACCCTCTGTTCCAGCCCACGTTTCTGACGAGTGATCAGAAAGTAGCGTGTCCTATCCTCATTTCCCATCACCTGCGTGGCACACCAGCTGCTCTCCCGGGCGACAGACTCTCAGACGCCATCCTCACCCTGTGGGAGCTACCTTCTCCTAGACACCACACGAGCCATTTACGTCTTTCCAGGTGTCTTTTTCCTTCCAAAGTCCACATGTGCACTACCTCCTCCTCTAAAACACAAAAGCAGAGAAGCAAACGACGACGAGAAAGGCAGCACGTTCCCTTCAGCCAAAGTGCAGCACATTTGTTTTCAAATGTGCCTCCTCTGGGACCCATGCTCTATCTCCAAAACCAGCCCAAGAGGAAGAAGAGGAGGAGGCAGAAGAGGAGAAGGGGGAGGGAGACACTGGTTTTCCCTTTTGGTCTATTTTATACTGTTAAAAACAAACAGAAGAAAAATCAGAGGGGATTTCTACTTCTGACATTAAGGCAGGCCAGACACTCAGAAGGGTCCTCACCAACAGGACAATCGATCCTGCCTGAGACCGTTTTCCTGCCAGCATTGGGCTTGAATGAAGTAGGGACTTCTTCAAGACTCCCATGTGACCTGGGTTCGGAGGAGGGAAATCCCACAGTAAAATAGAAAAGGTGAGGTCACCCTGAGAGCACATGCCACATCACAGCTGCATGCAGGTTGTATGGCCAGGAGGTGAGCTGGGGCTCCAGGCCCAGCAGAGGAGGCAAGTGTGCTGCCCACTGGGTCCCTGGCTAGAGCCAGTAGCAAACACCACCAGGTTCTCACAGTGAATCAGCCAGACCTGAACTCAAAGCCAAAGAGCAGCAAACACATGCAGAAGAATGTGTCCAGGAGCAAGTCAGCATGTACAACACAAACACAAAATAGGCTCAGATGCCAGGGGCATCAAAATTAGAGGTTAGATCTGAAGAAATAGTCCAGAATACATAACAGAAAAACGAGGCAAAAAATATTTGAAAAATTAAAAGGGAGAGATTACAGAATAAGGTCTAAGGAATATCTATTCATAGTTCTAGGAAGTGAGTCAAAAGGAAGAGGGAGAAATGATTAATTAAAGAGATGATGCTTGAAAATCTGCAAGAATTGATGCAAGTCACGAATACACAATATATTCCAAATAGAGTCAATGAAATCCACTCTTAGACACACTCAAGAAAGTTTCAGGACACTGAGGCCAAGTGTGGTGGCTCACACCTGTGATCCCAGCACTTTGGGAGGCCGAGGTGGGTGGATCCCCTGAGGTCAAGAGTTTGAGACCAGCTTGGCCACCATGGTGAAACCCCATCTCTACTAAAAATACAAAAATTAGCTGGATATGGTGGCGGGTGCCTGCAATACCAGCTACTCAGGGGGGTGAGGCAGGAGGCTGAGCTTGCAGTGAGCCGAGATCATGCCATTGCACTCTACTCTGGGTGACAAGAGTGAAATTCAATCTCAAAAAAAAAAAAAACAAAGAAAATTTCAGAACACCTACGAAGCCAACAATAAGATGAACAGGTTTTCTTTTCTTCTCTTTTTTTGTTTTGGGTTTTTTCAAGACGGAGTCTTGCTCTGTTGCCCAGGCAGGAGTGCAGTGGCACAATCTCTGCAGCCATTCTCACACCTCAGCCTCCCGAGTAGCTAAATTACAGGAGCATGCCATTATGCCTGGCTAATTTTTGTATTTTTGGTAGAGACAAGATTTCGCCACATTGGCCAGGCTGATCTTAAACTCCTGATCTCAGGTGATCCGCCTGCCTAGGTCTCCCAAAGTGCTGGGATTACAGGGGTGAGCCACTGTGCCTGGCCTAGATTTTCAACAGCAAAAATGGAAACTGGAATCCAGTGGAATCATGGCTTCTAAAAACAAATTGTCACGCTACAGTTGTCTACCCAAACCATCTTTCCACAATGAGGGCAGATAAAACATTCTCAAAGAAATAGAAACTGAGAATTAAACTCCAACAAAACTTTCCTAAAGGGGTTCTAAAGAATGTGCTCTAAGAAGGTAAGAACTAATCCCATAAAGGTGTGATTGACTCATGCATATCATGTGGCATACGGCATATATTACAAATAGATTACATGTTATATAAATATTTGATGTCTAGTAGATTTCCACTGTTTATCAGAATCCATTTCTTTTCATTGAAATAGATATGTTTCCTAGTAAATTATTCGTTACTTAAAAAAGGAAGTTACAAAATATTATAATAACCATAATATCCAACTTGGGAGTTATGAAAATTATAGAACTAAAATATCAAACAATGATAGTTTGAAAGTCTGGAGAAGACTGTTCTGACATTTATGTTGTTGAGAAGGAAACTGAGGT